CTAGAGGACGCCACAGTGGTCATGTGACTCGCTGACGCAACAATATATTGGACATTAAACTTACTTGCGAGAAGAAGTAGGTTAACACCGCTGTTTATGCTGACATGACTGAGACATTAATTTGCAGAGATATATGTTTTAAAGTGAGAGAGAAAGTTATAATCAGGATAGCAAGCGGAAAATAATTTTCAATATATTTAGACCAAACTGCTGGGATATTACATGCAACGATTGAGATTCATACCCATTCTGTCTTATTTTATCTGCTTCCTTTATTTAAAATTATGATTTTTTTATGATATATAAGTTTTGTATTCAGGAAGACAATGTTAAGCCACTCTTATATATTCCTTTATAAATTCATAAAATTTTAAAGAGACAAAAAGGAACTTCTTAACCCATCAAGAATATACCATAATTCCAACTCCCAACTATAACCACCACTTACTACTCATGTATTCATCCAATCTTTTCTTTAACTCAGTTAAATTTTCTGCTTCTACCTTGAAGTCAGCTCATTCCAAAAGCCAACCACCCTGTTTGAAAAGTAAAACTTTCTAAACTGCAGACGACTCCTACCCTGCCAAAATTTGAATTTATGACCCCTTGTCCTATTGTTCTCACTGCTAAATACACAAAAAAGTTTGATGGATCTATATTATCAATACCCTTGATAATCTTAAACACCTCAATCAAATCCCCTTTGACCCTTCTCCTCTCCAGAGAAAACAAGTTTAGATATTTTAGTCTCTCCTCTTTGGACAATCCCACCGTCCCATCCTAGTGGTTCTTCTCTGAACCTTCTCCAACAATTCAATGTTCTTCTTAAGGAAGAGAGCCGAAAATTGTACACAGTACTCTAAATGAGGCTTATAAGTGATCTATACAGTGAAACAATAATAATCATTGTCTTGCATTCAATATTTCTATAGATGCTACCCAAAATCCTATTAGCCCTATTGCTAACTACAATACACTGTTTAGATGACTTAAGTGATTTTTAGATCACAATACGACAACGTAAGTTATGGTAATTTCGTATTCTTATTTTTATTACATTGTAATTCATGATGAAAGAAATTCTATAACACTGAATTTTTCGTTGAGTTTTTGTATTAAAAGACAAGATTAGTTCGTAAACTTGAGATTAAAATGTAAACTGGTATTAATTTAATTGATCCTCGCAAAACATTTAGTTTTTCATAATGATATCATAGCGAAAGACACTATATGCGGAAGTCAGAAATAAACAACCACGTGACTTCCTTTCGCTACGTGGTCAAATTTGTTGTGTGTGTTGGTGTTTGAGTGTAGGGGTTTTAACTCTGTAAATTCCCGGTTATCTTTGAAAATGGGAAGTAAGTATAACAATACCATGTATGAAAAGGTTTGAATATTTGTTGCTCGGAAAATTTATAACTTAAATGTATATCTGGTTATTATTAGTTTCATGTAGTTAACCGGTATGTGTACACCTTGGTTACCTGAGTGAAGCTAAAGTACTAAAGGTTTAAAGTTAAACTACTTTGGAAGGTACAACTACTGATTAATTAGCCAGTGGGTGACGTGGCTTTAAAATTTTATTTTATAAAAATTGAACGTCGATATTTTCAGAATTTAAGTTTGTAATGTACAGTATTTACTGAAAGGAACTTTTTTTTTTTTACGGATTAAGTCAAATGTGAATGAGTTTGATACTATATAAAACTGGAGTTATGATATTAATAATATATTTATATATAGTTTCTTACTACGCACTGTATCGTTAATATATCTATAACCTATAGGCATTATATAATGCATGGTTTATTATATTAATAAACTAGTCTTCATAACTTGTACGTTTTTTGAATTTTAAACTGAACTCTCAAGTATTTTGAGTAGCTTATGAAGGTCATTGTACCATAGAAATGTTGACCTAGTTTGACCAGTATAAGATATACTGTTAAGTTAGTCTATTGTGTGATTTCATTCAACTGATAGTTGTTATATGGTGGTATTTCATTATTTGTATCTAACAACCACGTTAAAGTTTAAAAAATATTAAGATGCATTAACTAATATACATGATGTAAAATCCCAAAGCATTACATAACATATTTTAACAAAATTCTAAGAAACTACCATATGGTGAAGGTTTTTCTAAGTTGTGTTTGCAAGTATTTTAGAATAACTTATATTTAAAAGTCTAGCCTAGTAAATATAGCTACTTGCTCAGTTGATAGAGGACTCACCTGGCATGGGTAAGGTCTCAGGTTTGAGTCCAAGCTGAGGAAATCTTGGCAAAGATAAAAAACATATATATAGATATAAAAATACTTTTAAGCTAGAGATTATAATAAATTCGGATTTATAAAAGCCTTTGTAACTAATATGTGTACAAAAAGTAATTACAGAATGAAGTAGTAGTAAGTATACATTATACATATAACATCGGTAAGTTCAATACTATGCTACTATAGGTTCCATAAGTATAGCATTCAAACATATCACAACATAAAAAAATTTATATTGTAGGAAATATAAATTGTGAAGATAATATTGTCAAATAATACATAAATATGGCACCTGTTTATTCTTCTATATGTTCTACTACTAGAAGGCAATCAAATTCATGTCTTGATCCTATTTTTATTAAAACAGAGAAATTTGGCTCAATACAAACAGCAGTTATAAAATGAGGAGGACAGATAATTTTAATACAGCTTTCAAAATTAACCTAAAAAATACCAGTGTATATAATAATTATTATATGTTAAATAAGAGAATAAGAGAATGTTAATATAACAAGCTGGATGTGGTAGTATTTATCAAGAATTAAATATACAACATGCATAAAAAATTGTTGCAATATTAGAAAATATAATTATTTAAGTCATCCATGAAATATCTAAAAATAAATGGAACAAAGAAACAGAAGTCATGTATGAAAAATAGATTACTAAAATTTATTAAACATAGAAATGAAAAAATCAAACTATAATGAATTAGTTTAATTTAAAAACTGTAGAAGTTATCTAAATAGTCTTAAAAACAAACATAAATTACAATAAGCAAAAACAAAAAAGGTTGTGAAAATAATATTAAAAAACAACTGGATATAATTAAGGAGATTATCCCACTGATCTTGAACACAATGAAGCAGCTTGTTGTTTTTTTTCCAACTGAAAACGAAGATAGAATTTACCATTTTTTAAATATAAAAATTTATAGAGAAGTTTTAACAGAATATAGGAAGACTTACATATCAGTAGCTGACATTTAAAACAAAAGTAAGCATTTTATTATTTTTTAAAACATATGACAATGAAATATTTTTGGACTTTCTAGTTGCAAATTTATACAGATATATATATAAATAATATTTGATTTTCAAAAGCGACATAATCTGTAGAATATTCTTCTAAAGTTTCAAACTATTTCATCCAGTATTTCTTTTTCATAATGCAATACAATCAACTATGTAATGGATGCATCAAATTGAGACATCATGGTCTTTTAGTTAAAATGTATAAATAAGTGATGAAATGAAAAAAAATTGTTTGAATACAAAGAAAACATGTTTTATGAGATTTTCTTCAAAAGACTCAAAACAAGTAATTATAAGTAATCAAATATAGCAACTGTAGATGTAAACTTTTAGATATCACAAACATTAATTTTACAAAAAAATATGAATATTATAAATATCTTGAAATAATACTATATATTTAATTGGAGAGAACAAATTACAAATTTTACAGTGATATTTTCTTATGAAAAAAATGAAAAATCTATAATTCTTGGTTTGATTCTATCCTCCAGTGTAGGGAGATACTTGTTTATGAAATTTAAGTTATAATACAGTTACAAAAAATAATGTACTTGTTTTATTAATCACTCAAGATTGTATAATGCTAAAGCTTACCCAATAAAAATGTTTTCCATTGAGTAATAATTTGAGTCAAGTTACATGAATAAATTGATTTATTTACATTCAATTAGGGTGTTGAAACAGTTGCTCTTTATCACAAACCACGCCCCCTACATGAATGTAAAACAAAGGTACGGGCTTTCGTTCTAAGAAAAGCACATGTTCGTAGTGCACACAAACAATGTATCATATTGGAAAGGAAGACATTAGAGAAAGTTTTTAGGATGGACTACTTTGGAGAGGAAGACATTAGATAATATTGTTTTAAGTATTGTGTTTAAATAAAGGTAGACATTTTTTTCAAATATATCTTTATTCTTTTATATAACTGAATTTGATTTGATTTTCCAGTTAAGTTTCTTGAAGTGATTAAACCATTTTGTGGAATTCTCCCAGAAGTTGCTAAACCTGAAAGAAAGGTGAGGTTAAACAAATCTGTTTTGGTGACTGAACTTTTTTCTCTTTGTTTCTAAAAACATATTAAAAAGGAAAGATGTAAAAGTATTCCAATTGTGTACTTTTTCTGGAAATATTGATTTTGTTAGTTTACAAATTTATGTTGAATCTTTAGTGCATATTGAACCATTAAGTGAGATAAACTTGACTATCTCAATGAACTTAAATCGCTTTTCATTAACAATACATTAATGTTGTTACAGATTTATCAATTATTACATTAAATAAGATCAAACTTGTTTGTTCAAAATTTTAAAAAATGACAGTAAGGTAGCAATTTCTAATTGTTAAATGCTATAAAGTTTAATTGGTAGAGATGGCAGTTAAAAGCTATAAAGTTTAATTGGTAGAGATGGTAAAATTAAACCCTAAATTTGATCACTCAAAATGAGTGGATATTTTTAGAAGCATTTTTTTTCAAATATTTGTGTGAGATTTTTAAAACATGATAGTCTGTATGATACCAAGCAATGTTATTAATCACTAACTTTTGTTTGTAATAATATTGAGTTTTTGTATTCTCATACATCAGTAGAAACTTTTGACTACAAGAACCTATACTTTGAAGTCATTGTGATCCCACAATAAATCACTCTATAGTGGTTAAAAGAGATAACATTGTTGCGAAGCTTGTATCACATCATTATATCTGAGTCTTCTAATTTATTGTAAAACCTTAATTTTTAGAACTTTATCATACATTTGAAAAGTGATAATTGTTGATAGTAAAACCAGTTATTGTTTAATAACCAAAAACTTATTAGAGCTACACATGTATTGTCTTATGTTGTACAGGAAGTTGATTTTTTTGAGCTAATTAAATGAAACTAATTTTTTTTTTTTTTAGTATTCAGTTTAGAGAGAAAGTGCTATGGACTGCTATTACGTTATTCATATTCTTAGTTTGCTGTCAGGTAAGAACTGGCTGAAAATTAGAAAAAAAAATATTAGATGAATGAAGTATTGTGTGCAATTATGAAATAAATAAATATATATTTACACACACACAGATAGCGGGGAGTAAGAAGTACAAAACAATAACCTTTGTTTCTGTTTCAAGTGATTTATATTAGAGCTGGGACATTTAATCGATAGAAACAATAACCTCTGAGCAGTGATTATGTCATTGAGTATCACTAAACTAAGCAATAAAAGAAAATTACGTTTAAGTCAATTGTCACGAAAATAATCCAATCATTGAGATTTGTATTCCTGATTATTACTACTTTATGTTATGTTCAGCACAAAGTTATGTAACGAAATACGAGTGTTATGCTCAATTTTAACCTAATAAGTTGTTTTTTTTTACTTCAAGTTTGTTCAGCTTTGGTTATTTTTAGAAGGTGAGGCCCATGATTCAAGGTTCTCGAGTTCGATTTCCGTTGCAACCAAATTTGCTCGCCTTGTCTTTGTTATAGCAAAGCCACTAATGCTAATTGTCACTGTCACCACTAACTTTGAACTGCTGATTAGAGAGAAGAGAACTGTCTAGCTCCGTATGCTGACAACCTTTTTTTTCTTCTTCTTCTCGAAATGTTGACTAGGGGTAAGGCAACTTTCTAGCACATCTGTTGCCTTTGTTTGTTTTTTATACCTACCAAATTGATTAATCAAATCTAATTTGGCTGTCTAGTAATCACTAACTTCCAGCTTTAATTTGAATCTACTAATTTTTTTGATTGTAAAATAATCAATTGAACAAACTCATAATAAAATATGTGTACTAATTTTAACAAAAACTAACACTTGTTGTGTTGTATATTGTTTGATAGTGGTTTCTCTATTGGTTTTTCTCAGCTAATCAAAGTTGTGTTTTACTTTTTTCATTTACTGTTCTTTACCACAACCACTTTAGTTAGACACCCAAAGTTACATACTTAAAACTAGAAACAGTATTTTTGGATGAAAAACTTGTAAGTTAGCATATTTTTAATTTTCTGTGTTTTATTTGTACTAGATTAGTCAGACTTGATGTACTTACTGTAGTGTACTAAGTTGACAAAGGATTTAAAGTCTATAGTATTTTGAACTTGCAAGGTAACAACAGTGTTTGAACTAGGCTTAATTGACTGTAAAAAATGAACTGATGTAACATAGTAAAAAGTCATCTATAAACATTTACTTAAGTTAAAATTCAGATTTTTGTCTGAAAATGCTAACACGTGCATGAGTTAAAAATAATAAAATGCTAACACGCACGTGTTAGCATTTTATTATTTTCAACTCATGCACGTGTTAGCATTTTATTATTTTTAACTCATGCACATGAGTTAAAAATAATAAAATGCTAACATGTGCATGAGTTAAAAATAATAAAATGCTAACATGTGCATGAGTTAAAAATAATAAAATGCTAACATGTGCATGAGTTAAAAATAATAAAATGCTAACACGTGCATGAGTTAAAAATAATAAAATGCTAACACGTGCATGAGTTAAAAATAATAATTGCTTTTGTAGATTCCACTATTTGGAATCATGTCCTCCGATTCAGCAGACCCCTTTTACTGGATCCGAGTAATCCTGGCTTCTAATCGAGGAACCCTGATGGAATTGGGAATATCCCCCATTGTGACCTCCAGTTTAATCATGCAGCTTCTCTCCGGAGCGAAGATCATTGAAGTGGGTGACACCCCCAAGGATCGAGCTCTGTTCAACGGAGCACAAAAGTGTATGGAACATTTATTGGTTGATAAAAAATTATGTAAATCTAATTTAATTTAGAATCAAGAAAACTGTACAAAACTATCTTTTAATTTTTATTTTTTTTTACTTTTTTCATGTGTTCAATATTTTGAAACTCAATTTTTTAATGACTTTGTAGAGCATTATAAAAATAATAAATAAGAATACAAATTATTATCAATCTACTAACAATAATAATACTAAGGTGTAAGTTGTACCTACAATACTAAACATATTTAAAAATGTTTTCAATGAAATATTTAACAATTTTTTTAAAATTAAAATGTAAAAAAAACAGTAGAGTAAATGTAGAACAAAGCATTTTTTATCATGTCTCAGAGAAGGAGTAGCATCTGTCAGAATAACTTGGCCTGTATCAGAGAAGAAGTAGCATCTGTCAGAATAACTTGGCCTGTATCAGAGAAGAAGTCACATTTCTGAGGACAACTTTTTGCTTGTCTCAAAAAAAGTCATACTTCTCAAAAACTTTTTGGCCTATCTCAGAGAAGTCACATATTAAAAGACAACTTTGGGCCTGTCTCTTTCTCTGAGACAGGCCCAAAGTTGTCTTTTAATATGTGACTTCTCTTGTTGTATTTGTGAAGAGTCTAGCATTTACTCTTGTGTTTTATTTTATCAGTCCATCTTGAACTATTTTATGTTAGTTTTTATTCATATTCATATTCTTTATTTGGTGTTACATTTTAGTTTTACACCCTTGCTGTAACTATCGTACTCTCTACTTTAATGTATCTAAGAAATACAACAATAATACATGCATATGGTACAAAGTCTGTGAAAGTTATGAAACACGTGGAAAACGTAGAAACCAAAAAATGGGAAGTAATATGTGTAAATAAGTGGTTGTTTTATAGATTGGAAGTAAGTTTTTATTATATTTATAGTATTCGGTATGGTGATAACAATTGGACAAGCCATTGTGTACGTGATGACAGGCATGTACGGAGACCCTGCAGACATTGGAGCTGGAATTTGTCTCTTAATCATCATTCAGGTGAACCACTTCGTTACGATCGACAACGTTTATTTCTGTGTTACTAACTTTGATGTGTACTACAGAATAAAGCTGTAGGACTGTTCAGATTTTAATCACTGTCTAATTAATAATTAGTTATCCTCACACACACACACACACACACACACACACACTGGTTGTTCATAAGTATCTCTGAGGGCTTATAATACTCAAAATCATTTTACGATAGGTGCTGTGGGCAGAACACACATAACCCATTGAGAAGCTTTGGTCTCAACATCAAACAACCAATTTTTTTTACTGGATACTAATTTGCTAACGAACTTTAAACCCAACGTTTCAGCCTGAGTATTCTCGATGGAATGTTTGGACCCCCCAGACTTCTCCGCAAATACAGTCTTTCCCAGGACTTTCCTGATGATGGTAGCAGTTTAACAGCCAGGACATAGAATATAAACTAGTTAGTTATTAGTAGATACAAAAAAAGTAACAATTAATAATTATTTTTAGGTGATCATAGAGTCTACTAACCAGTACAGTGAGTGATATTCACTCAACACAACATCAACCTTACTGTAAATATTTAATTAGGATTTTATAAATATCCTAGTCACTTGTTGGAGCTTGTTAAATTAGAAACCTTCACATTGTTGAGGTCTTTCTCATGGAAACTGCTACAGTCAGGTTGATCCTAGTCACTTGTTGGAGCTTGTTAAATTAGAAACCTTCACATTGTTGAGGTCTTTCTCATGGAAACTGTTACAGTCAGGTTAGTCCTAGTCACTTGTTGGAGCTTGTTAAATTAGAAACCTTCACATTGTTGAGGTCTTTCTCATG